GTGAACACAATTTGAACAAAAATGAACAACCGTGAACACAATTTGAACACAAATGAACCGTGAACACGATATAAACACAATATATATGAACACAAATGAACACGATATGTGTAATTTTTGGCTCATATATTCACATACATAGACGTCCCACAAAATTAAGGTAGCATTTATTAATTTGTGTTCATCTGTTAATTTGTTCAAATTGTGTTCACGGTTCATTTGTGTTCAAATTGTGTTCACGGTTGTTCATTTGTGTTCAAATTGTGTTCACGGTTCATTTGTGTTCAAATTGTGTTCACGGTTCATTTGTGTTCAAATTGTGTTCACGGTTGTTCATTTGTGTTCAAATTTTGTTCACGGTTCATTTGTGTTCAAATTGATCAATACCAACAATCATTACTACCGTGTTTCTTATGCGATTTAGGAATTCATACAAGAATGAACATGGGTGATCAATAGTAAAAAAAATTAATAATATGAATGCATATTTTTTGGGATTTGATTGTTTATAACTCCCCATTAATTGTTTGGGGGGTTACAAATGAATTCAATTTACTACAATACCCTTGTAAGGGTCAAATGAACAAGACATAAACCTATAAAAATAATGAAATTTGATTGGTTGAGAGAGTTTTCAAAGTTAACACAAAAATGATTGTTAACATTTGATATTCCCTATATATATATATATATATATATATATATATAATATAACTTGTGTTCTATGTCATTGTAATACTGATATATATGGTTTAGAAAAGCAAAAAAGAAAAGAAAAATGGTGAAAAGTCCTGAAATGTACAACCATGGAAAGCACACTGCAAGCAGCTGACAGTTGTACTTTACACAATTTTAGATAGCATGGTAAGTGGGAGAATGCACCAGCAGCAGCATCACCCTTTGGAACTTCTTAAAGGCATCAGTTGGTTTGGTGATACCCACTCTTTTTCCTCATGAACTCAGCTTCATTTGCTTCTGTGGGTACAATCACTGATGACAGCCAGATGTTGACTGTACATATAGCTTTTTAATTCAATTTCCCCCTTTTTTTTTTCCTTTTTTCAGAATTTAATAAATAAATTTAATGTCTCAAATAAATATCTGCTACCTAGCTTCTTATGTTCATACCTTTTTTGAGCCCTAAATTCACCATTTCAGGGTTTTTGAATTTTAAACACAAGCTTGTTATAAACCGAATCCGACATTGAACAACTCGTGTTTCATAAGCTTGGGGATCACGAAAACCTACTCGGGTTTTCTAAATTAGAAGAAAAAAACACAAGAATCGTTGGTAACTAAGACAATTATTTTCGCTTCGCGAAATGAGTGCTTTTCGAGTTATGGCTTGAAAATGTGAACCAAACGGAATGAACCAAGTAAAAGATCGATTCGGAATTGTTGGATTTTGTGTTCAAGTTCAAGAAAATGAACGCAATCTGTGGTGAAACGGTTTCTTTGGGGCAGATCTTGGTTGAGGTCTGATCTGCTTTACAAACCCTAGCTAGGGACACACATGCAAACTGATATAAAGTAATATCTTTGTTAGATTTCATGACTAATTTAAGGTACTTGAGCATTATATATAATAATAAAAAATGAAATGGTAGGTCTATTGACAAATTAATACTTCTAAAGAAAACTTGGAAGACGAAAATGGTAGATAAACTAATCTAATAATTAACTCGATCTGATATATATATATATATATATATATATAATGTTACAGATGCAAATCAAGACTAACTTGATCTTGAACGCTTGGCTTAGAATCGTACATATAGCTAGAGCTTGTTGGAATTCTTGACGCCCTTAATCCGTCATTGGAAGATACCACTAATGGCGATGAATTGATCGAATGGTCACGGTTAAATGTTGAGTTTTGGGTATTTGGGTATCTCCATAAACCTAATGGACTGCCATTGATGGGTGTTTGATGGGAGGTGTAAGAGGAAGTGCCACCGTAAAATCTGTTATTGTAGTTGGTGATGCTAGAAGCGGTGTTCGTGTGGTGGAAATAGGGTGGTGGTGGGGTGGTGGAGGGTGCAAATCGGTGGTAGTTCATCAGACCATACATTTGTGCTTCCGAGAAGCTGCCGTGAACCATGGTGGACTGAAGGTGAGCTCTTTTGGCATGTTGTCGTTCTCTTTTATGTGCGTTTTGATGACCTCCCAAGGCTTGAGAAGTCGGAAAATTTCTGCAGCAGTAATTGCACTCGAATTTCCGGTTACTTTCTCCGGCGTCTTTAGATTCCACGGCGGCTGTTTCATTCGAGTCCGCGTCGTCGGAGATGATAACTTCAGGCGAGTCGGCACCGGCGGCACCACTAAACTCTTTTCCGAAGAGCCTAATGCTCTTTTCTTTGAGGGGTGAAGGACGGATGAAGGGAAGTTGAGAGAAAGACTCGACGTTCATGAAATCATGAGTCTCTCTGTCGGTTTTTTCCATGGCGGAGAGAGGGCGGAGGACGGCAGAGGAGGAAATTAAAGATTTGCAGACTGCGGAGGAGGAGGAGGAAGAGGAAATTGAAGTTACATATCTGGGGTTGGGGGGACCTATAAAGAAGAAAACGGAGGTGAGGTGGTGGTTAAATTATGGTAGAGAGAATTAGGGAATTATACAAGGACTTCATTATTGATGTCTGCATTTAAAAAAGGTAAATCCATATATGTGAATGTGAACCGAACCCCCACGGTTGCATGCCATGGGATGCCACCACCACATTACTGTATATCTATCGTCCAACATCTTTTATATATATATATATATAGAGAGAGAGAGAGAGAGAGTGTGTGTGTGAGGGGTAAAACCCTAAAAAGTTAAAAACCTATCAACATTTTATTAACCACTCAATTGGATGATATGCACATGTACGTATTAGCAGTTAAAATTGTTTCTTAGTTTTATGCATGTGTGGATGTTATGTATATATGCGTACCGAACAAATTGTTTACGTAATACTTGTATGTATTTGTGCATAATGTCCAGATGAACGGTTACGAGGTGTTCCTCGATGTTTCATTTCTTTGTGGTTTTCCTATGAATCTATATATATAGTCAGGTTCAGGAGAAAACCGCAAATAAATGAAAATTGAAAAAGAGTATTGTAATCGTTAATCTAGACGGTATGTACATGTGCATATAAGTAATTTGTCTGGTAGACACATGTGAATAACATGCATGTGTGCATAAAAACCAAAAAAACATCTTCAATTACTTGCATGCACATGTACATACATTCCAAATAAATGGTTACCTAGATGTTCCTCATTTTTTTTTTGGTTTTCCATTGAATCTCTCTCTCTCTCTCTCTCTCTCTCTATATATATATATATATATATATACACACACACACACACGCACGAGAGAGAGAGGTGGTTTATTTATAAACCATATAATTCTTCTAAACTTTACAAACCGATCTCAACTATACATGTAGATAATCAAGAGTGTGGATAAATTCGGTTCCTAAATTTACTTTCAACTACATTTTATAATTGTCTCTAAATTTCAAAATAAACAAAATCAATGGTTGAGATTAAGTTTGTAGGGTTTGAATGAATTACATGGTTTGTAATTGAAACTCCCCCCCCCCTATATATATATATATATATATGACATGCACATATGTATAAAAACTAGGGGTGAGCATAGGCGGGTACCCGCCCTTTTTGACAGGAACCGGAACCGGCGGTTCTTGAGATATTGGAACCGGAACCGGTTAGAGCGGTTCTTGAATTTTTGGAACCGGAACCGGAACCGTCGGGAACCGGTTCCGGTTCCGGATACCCGCTTCCTAAAATATTAAAATTTTGTTATTTAGAAATAAAAATAAAATATTGCCAAAACACTAAATTAAATAAACAAGAATACAAATTATACGGAATAATAATTACAAATATTGTTTTAACGATTACAAAACATAATAGACTAATAGAAAATGTTCAAAGTTTAATGATTATATACTATAATTGTAAATGTTCAAAACTTAACGATTACATACTACGAATTGTAGTTTAATAGAACTAGAAAGTAAATGAAGAATGAAGATGACCGCGTGGTCCGCGTCATTTGAAGATGTAACTTAATATAAATTTGGTATTGAAAAAAATCAATTATTTTTTTATTGAAAAACAATCGCCGGTTCCGGGTACCCGGCGGGTAACGGTTCCGAAAAACTGAGAACCGGAACCGGAACCGTTCTCAATCGGTTCCGTATTTTAGGAACCGGAACCACTCATATCGGTTCCGGTTTCGAAACCGGCGGTTCCGGTTACGCAAACGGGTACCCGATTCCGCTGCTCACCCCTAATAAAAACCAAGAAACAACTTCAATTGTTTGTATGTACAAGTGCATAGCGTCCAGATCATGGTTCTAAATAATTCGTTATGGCGTCTTATGGCATCAAGGCTTGAGTTCACCACCACATTAACCTATGTTGCTCCACTCTAAGGCTTGACTTGCATTATAATGCGTTATAGTGTGTTACAACGCGATATTTTGTAAGGTGAGGAGTTATTTTTAATATATAACTTGAGGAATAAATGATAATTATGTACGCGACCTGAAATTTAAATAAACATAAAAGAGAAACTCAAAAACTAAATAAAACCTTAAATATATAGATAATTACTCTCATTTCCATACATAAAGAGTCGAACACGAACCCTTTTAAAGGTATTAATTAATGGTTCTTCTATCCTTTTTAGTTTTACTACTTTACATGAATTTAATTTGTCCTATGTATTATTCAAAACACTAACACATACAAGTGTGTGTGTGTGTGTGTGTGTCGTTTTAGGTCACGTCTTGATAACATTGTGGCATCACCATAACTTGTAAGGTTTAAGTCTTGACCTCGCTGCCACATGGCGGTTCACGTCATTTAAAACATTTCCAGATGAATGGTTACCAATATGTTCCTCAATTTTTCATTTTTTTAGAGTTTCCCCCTGAAATAATGTCATATATATAAAATGACTAATGAAAGATGGTCTCATTTTAATATAACTGAAACGTTTTTGGTTTTCCAAATTAGATTTCACTATTAATTATACTAATCAAAAAATAGGCTGTCAAACATCGTTTTAATAACTTATCGTAAAATTTTCATATAGGAGACACAATTATTTATCCCAGAGGCACACGCCCATAACATTTTTTTAGTAGTAACACAAAATAATTATCATAATATTAAATTAAATATAATGTAATACGATCAATACTATATAGTTACAAATTACAATACAAAATATTAGGAAAATAATGCAATTTCAATGATTTATGGTCGGGTTTTTTTTTGTGCCCCACCATTATTAACCATGTTCATATACTATTAAAGTCTCTCAATTTTCGGTCGGCAACAATGCCTAGCCAGTGGTTGATGAAACAAATCAAAGTGTTTTAACGCTTTTAAGGGTGGTAAAAACTTTTACATTACAACGGAATATTATTACAGTACATATCACAAGTAGATCGACCAACGGTAGGTCCTATAACTTTTAGCTTCATCAATTATCCTATTAAGACGATTATTGACATTCTGATTACATACCACTTATGTTGTATTAATAAAGAATAAAAATCTTCTACCTCCAAATTTCATATACGTTTTCTTTTTGTCCACAAATCATGTGAAAAGATAATATCATTTAACAAAATTTATATTAAATAAAATAATAATGTGCTTCGTGGAACGTATATGAGATTTCCAAATGGTATTCGGATTAGCGATATGCGAGTCTTTAATCTCCTAGGAAGTTAAGGATTCAAACCTTACCAAATGTGAGGAGGATGTGTGAGTTTCTTTGTTCTATTTATTGTATATAAAAATTATATATTTAAAAAAACATACATGATATTTGATGAGATGAGATTTTTATTAAATTGGTGGTAGATATAGATTCATTTTTTTATAAATGATGTAAATTATATTTAGGGGTCGTTTACCAAATACTTACCCAGTAAGTGCTTATCTATAGGAGTCAACACTATATTTTATTTTGATGCATAAGATTTTAGTACATCAAAACATATTGAATGCCACAATTTACTGGGTAAGCGTTTATCTGGATAAGAGTCACCATTCTCACTTACTGGGTAAGACTCTTCATCATTCTCGTCGTTCTTACCCGCTAAAATTTGTGGCCATTCTCATGTTCATCCATGATATATACATATACACACACATATACATATATAGGGACTTTCTTTTGAAAAACCCGTGAAGTTGTGATATCTTTGAGAAATTAGTGCATCATGTGCTTTTTCATATGATTTTTTTCCAGCTAATTAGACTTAGATTTAGAATATAACTTAATATATATTTGTTTTTCACGATATGTTTATTTTACATGTACTCAGTTCATGATGTTAACTTTTTTATATGTTTGTGAAACAAAAAATACACGGAAAAATGTTTCACATTGTGAACCGAATACATGTGAAACAAACACATTGTGAAATTAATATATGGAGAAAATAATGTTACACAAATCTTTTAAGGTAAAAGTTCTTACAGATCTCATAAATCTTGAAGTTCTCAAATGATTAAACATATATTATCTTATAATTATATATGTAACACTTAATATTATGTAACACAAAAAAGGAACTGATCCCGTATTTTACTTCACTCATTGCTAATTAATGAGTTGTACAGCGATGGATCAATGTAATACCTACAAGAGCAAAATTGCACGCATCATTTATATATATATAGAGAGAGAGATAATATATTATATAAACTGTCTCATTAATACAACCCATACAATCCAATCAATTGAAATAATTATGAAAATAATAGGAGTTTATTTATTATAATTTGAATATTTATGCAAAATAATTATAGTTAATCAATGATAATCAACACTTTATATTAGAAAAGAAATCAATATATTTATGAAGAAAGATATTTATTAGAGTAGATGTTCGATTCAGATTGGGTTGTACGAATGACACATGTTGTATTTGAAACACATTATATATATATATATATATATATATATATATAGGTGGAGGTTCAAACGAGAACACCTCCATTTTACGAGAATGCGAGAACATCCTTATCACATTTGATAATACGCGTAAGGGGACACTGTGATGTGCGGACGACGTGTTCTACGACTTACGTCGCGCCAAAGGTTGTCTACATCTATGATTTAGCATCACATGTGATGGTTTTGATGGATTATGTATAGTATCATATCAACAACCACCTTATCACATGCGATAATACTTGTGAGGGGTTTAGTGGTGTAAGGGCGACTTGGCCTGCAACCAAGATCGCATCAAAAATCGTCCGCGTCTCTGATTTAGTTCACATGTGTATCATATGCGATGAAATTATAGTAATCACATGTGATTGTTTATAGTAAAAGGGTGTTCTCGCTTTCTCGTAAAATGAAGGTGTTCTCGTTGAACCCTGGTACTATTAGAGTGAGGACCA